TAAACGCACCGGGGGTTGAACCGGACTCAACGAGCCTGGTGTGAGATAGAAGCAGGAGGATGAACGTCAGGGTTGCTGCTGGAGGTGAAGATGAAAAGTCGTATTATTGTTTATCTAATCAGGCAGCTGCTGTCTGGTTAACCAACAGAACTAAAGTAAAACTCCACACCTGACAGCACAAACTGCTGCGCTGATAACGCTCCAAACTGCCCGCTGATAAGGCTTTAAATGTGTTCCCTGTTTACCCACGATGCCAAGCGCCGTTATCAGTCAAACAGAGGAGTGGTTTCCTGCTTCCTGCAGGCATCAATCCCTCTGACCAGGAGGAAGGAAGCTCCTTATATGGGCAGCAGGTGTGTGTGAGAGGTTAAACGTAGAACACAGACTGGAGTTCAGCTTCATTGTTCCACTGAAAGTAACTGCTTCAAATGGTTATTGGTTGAATTCAGAATCCATCAACTGGTAACCATGTTTACGATCAATGTCACTTTCAATCACATGCATGGCTGCCAAAAGCTCATCTCACTGGCAAAAGCCGACTTTACTCATTTGGACTCAGGTCTTGACTTGAACTCAACTACGTCCTGGTCCTGGTCTTGGACTCAACAAAGGGGGTTTTGACTACAGCAATACCCAGAACCCCATCCAATACCCAGACCCCCAAACCCCCAGACCCCCATACAACACCAACTTTTGTCACCAACTGACTCAGACCCAGGATCCCAGCAGCACCAAGTATTCCTTGATGTCAAACTGACCTCTGTCGGGATCTAGTGCTGTATTCGGATCGCTCTGGCCGCTCTGTTCAACCAGCAGTTTTATGGAGAACCTAACTATAATACTAATATAATAATAATAACTATATGTAGGTCATATAGAGGCAGCAGCTTTATAAAATGTGATACAGAGAGAATGAGGTTAACGTATTAACAGTCACAGTTGTAGAGTGGATCCACCTGTGAGATAATAACAACCACACTTTATTTTTAACTGCTGCAGCTGAAGGAAACCAGACATCGTATTTATAAAGTACACTGTTTAATTATAGATTATTGATTTAAGTACATATCCCTGAATATCCTCACAGGGTTGTGTTGGTTGCTGCAGTCGTAGTATTTATCTGTAACTGTGTCTGATGTTGCGCCAGCGTCCTCTCTCTTTGATCTCAGGTGAGACACACCTGAGATTGCTGGAATCCAACACACACACACACACACACACACACAAACACTTCCCGCCCAGTTTATAGCAGCTTGGACATCTAATCTGCACACACTCATTATAAAGATAAGATTGTATTCAAACAATAGAAACATTTTCTCCAGACGTGATGATCAGTCCGCAGTCTCCACCAGCACAACTGTATGTAGCTAACAGGATGCTATCCAAAAAATATTTTGTGTCATGTGACGTAAATAAAACTTTCCCTCTTTCTCCGTGATACTGTTGATGGACCTTCTGATGAACCTGCTGATGCCGAGATGTAGAAAGTGAATGAAGGTCCATTTATGGAGGAGGAGGGTGGATGGAGGGTCAGAGGATGTTGTCACAGATAGAATATAATGTTGATAGGTATGTTTTCATTATAATAATCTGAAAATAAGAACTGTTACCTTAGATTGAGTTGTTTTATCTTCAGAGGGAGCCGGTTGCTTTATAGGGAGTTCACCATGTTTCTTCAGAAGCCCAGAAGGGACAAACCAAACACTGACTCTAGACTGGAGATGTGTCGTTTCAGTTCTTGAATCTCATGATGGTCAGTTTGGTGTTTTTATGCAGTAATATTATAGCAAAAAATAAGTTAATTTAATTTATAGTTGAGATGTTTTTTGTTTGTTTGTTTATCTTGTTTTTATTATTTGTTTGTTTTTTCTCTCTTTTCCGTTAATATTTGCTGCTTGGATGGATTCATTGTTAGGTATGTTTGACATCCACTGATGATGCCTGTTTGTTATTAAAGAAGCTTAATTCTCATTCCCAGGTCGTCCAATACAGACGCAAGCTGTATTCAGTTGGTTGAAATCTGCAACTTAACGGCTAGATGCTACTAAATCCTACACACTGTCTTTTAACTAATGTGAGGAAGAATCAAACTGTACAGTAACTATTATAAAGTGTAACAGGACAGTGAATCTGTGGTTTCTGCTCATAATCACAGGGAGGAAAAATCTTATCAAATAACACTCTCACACACACAGTCTGTGGATTCTTTAGAAGTGAGTAATTCCCGGGAAAAACATCTGACAGGAAGTGTGTGTGTGTGT